TTATTTATGACAGCATCATATTAAACTAGTAATCCATAGTATCATAGAAGGGACCCACAACGATCATCAAAGTCCAATTCCTGGTCCTGCACAGGACCACCCCAAGAGTCACACAATGTGCCTGAGATCCAAACGCTTCTTGAACTCTGTCAGGCTTGGTGCTGTGACCACTTCCCTGGGGAGTCTGTTCCAGTGCCCAACCACCCTCTGGGTGAAGAACCTTTTTCTAATATCCAACCTAAACCTCCCCTGACACAACTTTAGACAATTCCCTTAGATCCTGTAACTGGTCACCAGAGAGAAGAGATCAGTGCCTGCCCCTCCTCTTCCCCTCACGAGGAAGTTGTAACTGCAATGAGATCTCCCCTCAGTCTCCTCTTCTCCAGGCTGAACAGACCAAGTGCCCTCAGTAGCTCCTCATACGGTTTCCCCTTAGGGCCTTCACCATCTTTGTCACCCTCCTTTGGACACTTTCTCATGGTTTAATATCTTTCTTATATTGTGGTGTCCAAAACTGCCACAACATCCCCACCCCAGAGCAGAGCAGGACAATCCCCTCCCTTGCCCCACTGGTGATGCTTTGCCTGATGCTCCCCAGGACATGGTTGGTCTTCCTGGCTGCCAGGGCACTGCTGACTCACATTCAACTTGCCATCAACCAGGACATCCAGGTCCCTTTCCATGGCACTGCTTTCCAGCATCTCATTCCCCAGTCTGTATGAACATCCAGGGTTTCCCTAATCCCAGGTTCAACTCCTGTGTTGAATTTCCTGTAGTTGGTGACTGTCCAATCCTCTGATTTGTTGAGGTCTCTTTGTGGGGTCTCCCTGTCTTTCAAGAAGGCAGCAGATTTTTCCTCTTTAGTGACATCCTCAGACTTGCTCAGTATCCCTTCCAGTCCTGCATCCAAGTCATTTATGAAGATGAAGAGCACGGGGCCCAAGTCAGAGCCCTGTGGAACCCCACTAGTGACAGGTCCCCAGTCTGATGTCACTCCATTCACTGTTACCCTCTGTGCTGTGTTACCCAATCACTCGCCCATCACACCATGTGTTTACTCATTTTGTTCAGAAGGATCCTGTGAGATGGTATCAAAAGTTTTACTGGAATCTAAAACCATTACATCAACTAGGAGGGTACCTGGGTCATAACAGGAAATTAGGTTGGTGAAGCAGGACTTTCGCTTCGTGAACCTGTGCTGGTTGTGATCAATGACTGCATTGTCCTTCAGGTGTTTTCCAGTACTTCCCAGAATAATCCTGTCCATAATTTGACCAGTGAGACAGGCTGGTAGTTTCCCATTGTGCCTGTCTTTGAAAACTGGGACAACTGTTAGCCAGCTTCCAGGCAACTGGGATCTCTCCAGATTGCCTGGAAGATCAGTCAAAAAAATCATTGAGAGAGGCCTCACAGTGACATCAGCCAGTTCTCTGAGTACTCTTGGACGAATCCCATCAGGCCCCACAGACCATCCAGCTGGAGCAGCAAGTCCCACAGAAGCTCAGGGTTGACTGGGAGTTTTTCATTCTCACAGCCATGGTCTTCCAGCTCAGGGCTCTGGGATACCCCAAAACCCATTACTGGTATGAAGCCCAAAGCGCAGAAAGCATTAAACACCTCTGCCTCGTCTGTGTCCTGTTGGTGAAGTGCCAACCCCCATCAAGTAACACATCAATATTATTTCTAGACTGCCTTTTGCTATTGGCATTATCCATTAAAAATACAATAAGCTGGTGATTTCAGTGTTGTCTATTCCGTTACTCTCCCACATGTCATCTTATTCTGATATCCCTTTTATTCAGTTGCTTCCTCCACATACTGGCTTTTCACAACATTGTCTGAGGCAATGCAATTTCAACACCTTTCCTCTTTTCACTGAACACACCAGCCTCTGTTCTCTTTCTTCCCTTCTATCCTATCCTAGTATTTTTTCCATACTCTGGGCATAGATCTAGTTCAGTTTAATATTCTCAGCCTTCAGTCATAGAATCCCTCCAATGGTATTTCTCCCATGAAATGTTGGGAGAAATGAGCCTGTACATTACACACCCTCTCATTCCCCTACTCGTGGTGCATTAATATTTAATCCCAGTGTAAAAGCCAAGTCACACAAAACCCAAGTTACACCACCCTCTGTGCAAAAGGCATATGCAAATCAAGGAGCTCAAGCAAAGGTAGCAGGAAGCCTGTAGGGATAAACAAGGACCTCCTGACAAAACTCAAAAATAAAGAAAGAGGAAGCATAACAGAGGCTGAATGAGGAGCAGGTGACTCTGGAGAAATGCAGAGACATTGCCTGAGTATACAGAGAAAGGGCTAGGAAATCACAAGTCTATTTGGAGTTGAATCCAGCAATGGATGTGAACAACAACAAGGAGGACTTTCTTGCACCAGCAGGTAAAAAGATGCAGGAAAACATGAGCCCATTGCTGAACAGGGCAAGGAACCTGGTGACAAGGGTCACTCAGAAGGCTGTGGTACTCACTGCCTTCACAAAGCCCAGGTCCTCCAGACCAGTGGGAAAGCCAAGTGCAAGAAAACCCTATCCTAGCTGGAGGAGGATCACATTAGGGAACACCTAAATGAGTGGGGCATATAAAAGTGTGTGGGGAAACTGTCTGGTGTCACTGTGAGGCCACTATCTTTGAAAGATCCCAGTTATCAGGATCTGATAATGTCCCTCCCATATTCAACAGGTAGGATCCTGCAAACTACAGACTGGTTGGTGTCACCTCCATCCCTGAGAAAGTAATGAAAGAAAAAGTTCTGGAGATCACTTAAAAAGTGCAATGGGCAAAAAGGTGATTGGGAGAAGTCAATACGGATTAAATCAAGCCAAAATCATGCCTGATCAAAGTTCATAGCCAGGACTAGAGGGGAGAGCAATGGAGGTTGCATATCTTGATAGCAAGGTTTTCAGTGCTGTATCTCATAAAATCTTTGCTGATGAACTGATGAAGTATGGATTAAACAAATGGACAGTGAGGTGGACTGAAAACCACGTGGCACTGCCAAGCTCAGAAGGCTGTCATTAATGGCATGAAGTACAGCTTCAAGCCAATTCCCTGGCAGTGTGCTCCAGGGTTTGATACTCTTCCAACACTTTTAAATGTCTTCATCAGGGACCCAGATGATGGGCCAGACCGTACCCTCAGCACATCTGCAGGTGATAAAAACTGGGAGGGGTGGTTGATACACCACTCCACTGCGACCCTGAGACACTGCAGAAGTGAGCCATCGTGAATCCCATGGCGTCCTGCAAAGGGAAATGCCGAGTCCTGCACCTGGGTAGGAAATAAGCCCAGGTACCAGCACATTTGGGAAACCAACTGGCTGTAAAGCAGCTTTGCAGAAAAGGACATGGAGGTCCTGGTGGACACCACACTGAATTTAAGCCAGCAATTGCAGCAAAGAGCACCACAGATCCTGGGCTGCAGCAGGAGCAGCACTGCCAGCATGCCATGGCAGCTCATCCATCTACTCAGCACCAACAAGCCAGCGTTGGCTTCCCAGTACAAGAGAGACATGGACATACTGGAGCAAGTCCAGCTCACCATGAAGGTGACTGAAGGCTTGGGACACCTGACACAGAGAGGCTGAGCAGGCTGGTACTGCTCAGCTGGGAGAAGAGATGGCTCAGACCCAAATGTCTAAAAACATTTGGTAGGAGGATGTAAAGAAGACAGAGCCAGACTCTTCCCAGCTGTATCCAGTGAAAGGACAAGAGCCAAGGAGGACAAAATGAAATACAGGAAATTCCATTTAAACCTAAGAAAATAGAAAGATTGTTGACTGCAAGGGTGGCTGAACACTGGAACAGAGTTGCCTGAAGAGACTGTGGAATGTCCTTCCTTGGACCTTTAAGACCCAGCTGGACAAGGTTCCAAGCACCCTGCTCTAGCTCTGAGCAGTGGGGTTAGACTGCATGATCTCCAGAAAACTGTTCCAATGCCCCAGCAATTCTATGATCCTACAAAAAGTCATGTATTCAAACTTGGAGCTGTTGGATTGGACTGATTTACTTTAAATGTATTTCTGTCTAATAGATGAGCAACATGTTCAGTGCTACCAACTAGGTCTTAAAGATCAGGATACTGCCAGTGTGGTTCAGCTAGAATTGCAATAACAGTACAAATGTTCTCCAAAATAATAACTTATTAATGTCAGGGAAAAAAAAAAGCTGTTACCACTGGGCCCTTAATTCTTTTACTAAGGGTATTTGGCAGATACCTGAAAACAGAAACATTTGTCAACAATTAAAGGGCAAACCAATTTTTCACAAAAAAGCTTTCATGTAATCCCAAAACTAACAACAAAGTCTTGCTGAAAAGAGGCATTTTAACTGCCCCAAACCAAAGTTTGATAGCCACAAATGCAAACATTCAATTTGAAATGCCTAATACCACACTGAAATTTGGCAGAAGTGCAATTAAGATCCTTGTCTTTTTTCCTCTCCAAGGAAAAAGGTTCTGAGTACACTAGAACTAAAAGGGGAAGCAGTTTCAACTTATAAAACAACTGTAATTGCCTGTCTGCTAAGTGGAATAGTTTTTCTGTAGTTTTATGTTGTATTGCCAAATGTTTTAACTACGCTTTTCCTGTTCTGTGCAGGACAAACTGTACATTTCAAATTCAAGACTAGCAATACTTTCTGAATACACCACCCTGGTACACACCTGCACATGCAATGAAGACTAACAGATTTCCTCAGAAGATATTCCAAACAGGCACCAAATATATATAAACACTTCAGTGCAGCAGTATTTCCAGGTAAGATTCCAACTCAACACAAGTACAATAATAAAGGTTAGGCAGATGCTAAACATCACAGAAGTAGGTGGGAATGATTTGGACTGACAACTTAAGTAGTGAACAAAAAAATAAAGCCTTTATCTTGAAAGAACATTAAACCAGGTAAGAACACCCAATTTCTGTCATGAATGCTGACATGGAGTTATATGTTAGTATGCACATTAATAATCACACTTTCAATACCTTACCAATCAATTAGATAGATGTCTGGAGTTAAGTTATTCTTTTTGAAGTGAGCAAATAACTTTGGCAGATTCTCTTCAAAGAATACCTCAAATGCGGCAAAGTAAGTCAACATCTGGGAAAACACAATGGGGAGAAAACAAGCAGTTAGCTGTGTTATTAACAGGCTTAAATGCATTATCTGTTGTTGGATTAATGCCCTTTAAAATAGGATCAGATGAACTACAGGATACTGTAAAGAGCTAAGCATGTACACACAAAACAGCATCCGCAAGCATGAAAAGTTTAAGGTCCACTCTGTATATCATTCTCATACTAAACAATGTAATGATTGGTTTGGGTCTTGGTCAGCTTCCTTTGGAAAGAAAAATACCAGCAGGAGACAAGTTTTTTGTGGATTTCTTAAAATAAATATAACAGAATGGTTTTTTTATGCTTGTGGCAGTAATTTAATATTATACTGAACAAAATCCAAGACTCAATGGAACATAATGAAATACAAAACTAAAATAATGTTGATACTCCTCAGCAACAGTGAAGAGTCCAGTAGATTCCAGTCATAAATCATATTCTAACATCAAAGCTATTTTAAAATCTCTGAACCATGAGTTACTGAGAAACAGCTTCACAGTCAAACGTGACACCAGAAATGCAGGAACCCACTTTAGAGAACTGTGCACCTGAAACAGCTTCCCAGTGGGGATTTTTAATGCATGAAATCCAAACACCCATGAGATCTTTTGAGTATAAACAAGGGAGCAGGTAATGCCTGCTTCTACTTTCCCAGGAACCTGCTAATGTGCTGGCAGCACTGTGAGACAGTTCTACTGGAGCTCTTATTTCAAAAGCACTTCAGAGACGGGACCTTACACATAAGTGCTGCAATCACATCTATTGATGGTCATGTGGGCAGCAGTACAGGTATTTGTCTTGATCAAATCAACACTCAACATGACATTTATTTAGTGTTAATTAAAAGATAATGTAGTTCAATATAACTAACCAGAAAAAGAAGTCAAGATAAACTGGTATGAATTATTGTAACTTCTGCTGATTTAAGTTTTTTCATTTATTCTAAAACAAATCAGCATTTGCTTATTATGCTGTAAAACTGACACAAAAAGTTGAGGGTAGACAGCAGGTCACCATCCTAACCACAGGAAGCCAAAATTGTCTCACTTGAGTGTCACTACTCCCTTTGAAATATTAGATACAACACTTTCCTTGGGATGTTAAATCATGGCTTTTGCTTTCATGATATATTAATATTTCATCTATCACCATCTCTGCCCTTCTGTAAGCACACATTTATCATGTAGTTGCTATTTGGACAGGCTAATAGAACTAAACAGCACTATCCAAGAGCACACCAAAACCAATTCTCTCAGCTAAAAAAAAATATTTATCTTATTCTAGTCAATTTAAGTCCAAAATCAACTTCACAAGAACCACATTTACACAGTGAATGCATGAGCATGTCCTCTTCTTACAAGTGCTATAATGGAGAGGGTTGATACTGCTACTAGTGCTGTCTGCGCTGTGGTGCATCTCCCTATGGCATTTACAACTCTGAGATTCAGGAACTGCAACAGGAATTACAGACTGCTTTTCCAGCAGGAAATTCTGATAGGATCTCTAGTGTCCTACTGTTTAAGCAATGAAAGTTACTGCTGTTGATGTATCCATTCCTTTGCTTTATTTCTCCCACTTGAACTCTTGAGAAGCAGATCCTATTTTCATAGCATTAAAAGGTGAGAAAGAAATAAAGAATGCCATACATTTGACACAAAACCACCTTTAAAGTAAAATAGAGATGTCTTACTTTGCTATAGCAGATCAGTAGCCCAGTGTACATGCCAACACAGAATTTTAGATGCTCCAGAGAGAAACAGGCAATCAGCTCCCCCTGAAAATCGGAGAGGTCTGTTCCTCTGAAAAGGAGCCTGATGGACCCAAACACAGCTGCAATGGTAAGATAGGGGAAACGTGCTTCTCTTTGCAACAGTCTGTTTTTAGCAACCCATTAGACTCCAATAAAAATCACCTTCAAGACACTTCCAACATTATGGTGTTTTCAGCTTCCAATTGCTGGAATAATATTCTCACAAATATTTTCTGAGCATCATAAAATAGTTGCTCAAAAATTTCATTCACCTGCCTATTCAAAAAGGTAAAGGGGGTGATCTTTGGTTTGTTTTGACTTTTTTGACGGAGTCTGCATGTGTGTGTTGGGGTTTCTTAGTTTATCAAGCATGTTGCTTTAAAATATATTCTGATTTCTTTTCCCAGCTACTGATCCAATCATTTTTTCTTTCTTTTTAAACTTTCCCTACACATTATCCACAACATGTCAATTATAGCTTTCCTGCATACTCACAAGGCCATGGTCCACACGGAAAAACGCCATCTGACAGGGTTTATTTAAAAGATTAGAAAAAGCAATGAAGGCATCCGCAGTATCCAAGTTCAAGATCAGCACTGCTGCTATGAATGACATGCCCTGTACCTGAAGAAAGGAGAAGTGTTACCATTCAGCAGTGACTGTATTCTTCCAACAACACTTCTTCCTTTTGTCCTCCTGATCACTAGTGTTTAATGCACTCACTGAGCTGCTGACTTTGGAGAAACATTCATAAAAGCAGGACTTCTTTAACCCACATGACCTTCGGTATCAGATGCTCGGAGCATGGAAGTTAACAATTCCCATGTTGCCTTCTTTCAAAGACTCCAAGTAAAACTCCTAAGACGGGCTAGCATGACAGCACTTTCAAAGGCACAGAATAAAGAGTTTTTTGAAGAACAAGATGTTTCTAAGCAATCCCTCTCCTCCTAGGGATGGGTCACATATACCCTTATTTGTGGAAAGCTGGACAAGAACCCTAGAGACAAAGCCTGTACTTCCCTTTTTCCATCCATTACCAGCCAGTACAGACAACTGCAGTGACTCATTTGACAAGCAATACTGTTTTAAGATTTAAACTCTTGTTTCATTTACCATAAGCTCATGACATTGCTCTCTTTTTCTACAAATCCTGTTACGGAATCCTGGCAAAGCTCTCTCACTCTGAGGGTGCAGAGCTGCCATTGCAGGGTCACATGGACTGAGGTGTGACAGCCATTCCTGCAAACCTGAGAAACCAGCTCCTTCCCAACACAACAGGTTGTTGCTGAGCCAAAGGAAGCACACCAGCTGACCTGCCCTTTGTCTCCCTTCCTGGCAGTCATGTTCAGCAGCTCATGCCAAGCATTACATGCTGCTATAGAATAGAAATGTCACTTTTCTGCATCTGCCTTGTCTAAAACAGCTGCTCCTGAACAAACAATAAGCCTCCATACATAGCCCTGCTCTGGGAAAAGAGACTAAATGGAGTATCTGAAATCCACTCAGTGCTCTCCCAATCACTACTTCAAACACTACGAGGGAGCTCCTGTAGCTTCAATGGGCATTGCTTTAGAGACTGGTCCAGAAGTACTCAGTGCTGAGGCACACAAAAGCCTATCATTTCCCCTCAACAGCAGAGTCTCAGACTGATTTTAACAATAAGTACTTCAAAGGACCAATTTAACTACACCTTCTCTTCAACTTCAATTTTCAAAGTATGTATTTTTGAGTACAAATATATCCTTTTGAGTTTTCCACTTAACCTGTTAAAAAGCTTAAATTTAGCAAGAGAACTGTTATACACACTTTTCAAGCACGTATTGAAATAGAAGAAAGCACACACAGACCCCAACAAGCTTTCACAAAATCATTTAATATATGCCCTACAAACGGATGATTTAACACAATACTCCCTCCCCATAATCCTCTCCCTCCACCCCTGAAAAAAAAAAAATTCTTCACTTACATAGCCTACATCAGGTCTGTAACAAGTATAGGCTCCTAAAATACTGTGCAACGTGTCATGGTAAGGACCACCCTGTAATTAAACAAAAACAAGACAATACATCTGATTATACAACAAACATGCTAAAAACTCTTCAGTGCTACAGATGGTCTCTATTACTGCTGATGAAGGACATGTTCTTTACCAATGCAGCTTAGAACAGCCCAAAGTATTTCAAATAATTTTGGCTTTAAGAACGTGAAACAGTCCTCCAAACCCCATTTATTAGAAATAAGTACCAGTTCATCCAATACATCAATTACCTATTAAATACTTATACAAGAGGAATGCAAGCCTAAGAGATTCCCTATAGCTCAGCAGCACTATGACAACTGTGCCAAGCAAGCAGAACAACAATGCAAACCACTTCATTGTCCTCAAGACTGGAGGCAGAATTCAGCCATGAAGAAAACAGTCAAAACAAAAATATGTCATAGCACACAGAACGTATCAAGAATGACGTGTGCAGCTAAAAGGAATTTCACATTGTTGACTATTAACAGCTGCCATATCTTGCACTGAGTACTCTAAGAATTTCCAAAGGGAAATTCTCGCCCAAAAATGGTGATTTATCTCAATCTAAACTTTTTACAGGGCTGCTGAAATCTGTGCAGAGAATGTCTAAATCCAATTAAAGTGAGTCATTAAAGCACACCAAAACCATACGAGTTAAATTAGCCTTGCATTGAACCAAAAAAAGGCCAACAAATCTTGTTTGCTTGAGCTGTGCTCTCTCTCAGCATCTATTTGCAACCCAGTGGTGCTGATTCACTGACTTCGAAACACTGACCTGCATCACTTCACCAGACAGAAACCAGCATGAACTAAGTCAAATGAATCACAACGATTAACCAACACACTGGGGTTTTGTCTCTTCCAAGTGTACAGTACAGTACCTCGAGGTTACTATTTTCTAGATTATTTATAGTTTTTCAAAATCTTTAGGAACTTTATCCTCTCAAGATGCTTACTCTTTCAGATTTGAACTCAATGGGCTGTTTCAACCAAGGGACAGGCAAGATTATGTAAACTAAGTTTCCCTGAGAAGTCAAGACAAAAGTCAACATTGCTTACCTGCTGGAATATACAAAGACTAGGAAATGTTCTCGAGATATCCAGTTTTATTAACTCCAAGCTTGCTTCTCTGTCAGCTGCAGAAAATCCAGCATCTACAAAAGCCAAAGTTACTGCATTTATTACATGGATTTGGTGTACATTCTTTGGTTTGTTTTTTTGTTTTGTTTTGTTTTTCCAGTAAGGGTTAGCTTTTGCACAGCTCATTTATTTTGATGTGAATGCTAGGGAATAAGGCTACAGACAAAACAATTCCATGAATTCAGCACACAGGCTAAGCAGCAAGTATGGCCTGACCTAGAGCAACCCCACAGTGCACAGTGACCCTCAATTTGTTTTGAAGTGATGTGGGGAAAGACACAGGGCAAGGCAGGTCAGGCACTTCACTGTTATCTGCTGACAAATCATTAGACAGACACAAGCCTGTTAACCTGTGATCCCCTCTCCTCCTACAAGGCTCCCCAGTGGCTCCTGAAGTAGTTGCCTCTGTGGAAAGGCTGCAGTGGGAAAGAGAAGTCCTAAAGCAGCAGCATTTGATGGATACCACCCATCTCTACTACTGTCACCTCTCCTTTCAAATTCATAGTCTTTGTATGTGTTGTTAAAGATAACGGACACTATAATTCACTCTCCATAACTGAATCAGATCTCATACAAAATACATCTCTATAGCATTAGTTTTGTTTCTGATTTCGAGGTTTTATTGGTATTCTGCCTGTTCTGATAAGTACAGATCGGAATTACCTACTGCTGCTTACTGAGCAATCAGAAAACAGGAGCTGTTACTAGCCAATGTTTGTACCAATTACATGAGCATCTACACTCCAGAAAATAAAGAGTTGGAAACATACTAGATACCACCTCATTTAAGATGTAGACAACCTTAAGAGAACCAAGTAGAGGAGTTCCAATCCAAAATATTTTTCTGCTTATAAGTGACAGTACGTGTGTTCTCCTTTTTCTGCTCTGCTCAGCATAATTACTTACCAAAGGCAATTTCATTTGCATGTAGTTTTATACTCCCTCAAAACCAGACAACTCTTCCAATTAATTAGTAAATCTCAAACCACTTTGTCTGCAAAAATAAATTACTGCTCTCTGAAACACACCCCAGAGATTGGTTGAAAGCTGCAGTAAGGGACTGAAATACAACTTTCGGCTATAATTTGAGTTTCAATTCTAAAACTGCAGATGCAGAAAAGCATTTTAGTGTTGCAGTTCAAATGATAATCCCCAAACTTCCCCAGTTTTTCTACAAACTTACATGAAATAAGAGCTATACCTAGAGATTGTTTATAAAAGAAAAATTAGTAAGTGTGCTTTACAGGAGGCCATCATTTCAGTGAGAAGAATACAGCTATTCCTTGTTTCCACAAAAAGACATTTCCTTTTTACCAGAGAAAATCTTCATAAGTGAATTTTTTTGTTTAAAATATGCGATTTCATTTTAAGGAATGATTTTACAAAATCTCTTATTCTTTAACGCAGCATGAATCATTTACAAAGAGCATACCTTCACCTTCTACTTCAGCCCCTCCCGTGCTACGTGATCGCCACTTCTCTTTGGCACGAGCCAGGCAAATGTCATACAGTTCTGGACAAAGTAAAACAGAAAAACAACTCCATCATTTGAACACGCTCATGTCCACTACCAATCTACCTACCACATGGGCAGTGCTGCCCTAATCCTAACAGGTAACATGACTCTCTAACACAGTAGTTGAACTTCTGATTAGGTTATGGTTCTGAAAGACTTGCTCCACTGACCTCTAAATTCAGATTAAGTGAAAAGGAAAGGCAATCCAGGCATAAGTTGCATTTTATGTTCAAGTATTGACTTTTTCTTGCAGAGCACTGATATTCAAAATTATAGTCTGAATGGATAATTAGGAAAGTCTAGCAAATTCCATGTAAGAACTACACCCAAGGTAACTAAGCCAAAAAAAGCACAGAAAAGCAGCACCATACAGCAGGAGTACAGGCAGTCTATCCCATTTCCATGTTGGAGCTAATTACATATATTAGTCTTTCAGAGCTGTATTTTTCTGCACTTGGAATCAGCACACTATTTCTATTTTCACAAACACACCAACAAAAGTACAAATCTTCCCAGGGGTCTTTTAATCTCTTACAAACCTCTTGTCTTGCTTCAAATCAAAGGGAGCACAGTACGTGCACATTTATAAGCATTACAAAAACTAACAACAGTTCTAAGTTTCAAAAAGAAAAAAAAAGCTTGAGTCATTAATTCTGACCATGTCCGTCTAACACCAAAGCAAGTCACAGTGACAGCAATAATCAGAAACAATTCACAGCAGCAGCCCTAGAACAGCTACAAGATTAAAAGACGCTGTATTTTTGAACAAAACACACCAAAGCACCATGAAAAGGTATAACTAGATAACACTTCCTCACACCCACACCTCAGGGTCTGACACACCACAGCAGACACGACTGTCCCTTTACTATTTTGCTTTGTAAGACAGTGTCAACAAAACAACAGTCTCACCGTGGGTGATGTTTAACTCGTTGCCAATTGCCAAGCTCCAGACCTTGCCTCTCACACTCGGTGGAATGCCCTGCCACCACAGCTCTCGGACTTTACGGGAACAACACCTGCATAAAGAAAAATAGGTCATTCTAAGAAATATTTCACTGCCTGATGAATTGCAAATGTGGCCTCCAACCACTACTGAAGGGATCTGAACCAAAATGAACATCAACAGGCCGAGAAGTCGATTGCAATTTGCACACACCCGTTCTTTTGTATCATTTTGCTTTGAACTGTGAAGGAAATCTTACTTCCTCCCAAGGTAATGGCTTATTTTGACTGCAATCACAACACCTGTAATCTGCAACCACACTTGACCAGCAAAAACCATAGGGAACAAATGAAAAGACACTAAGACACTACCTATGCTAAAGACTGGACAGCTCCGTGCAAGACTTAATACAGGCACAAGTTATGGAAGTCCCCCCTCTGCCCTCTGTCACCACCCTGCTGTGCACACAGATGTGCAGCTTCCCAGCCATCCTTGCAGCCATCACCCTCTGGAAAAATGCATGAGGATGTGACAAGGAGTAACCTTTAGAGGGGAGCATGAATAAAATTTTAACAGAACACAAGCTTTGAAATGGCTGCAGCTGATGTTCATCAATCTGAGAGCCCAGCAGGAGGAACTGAACAGCATCTAAGCACCAGTGAAAGCGGTAAACCCACAACAATTCGTTTATTTAAGAGCAGCCTCCAAAATAAACTGTAAAACAGTGAACGCATTGGCGAACTTCTGGATTTATAAACCAATACAGGAAAAGGTGACCTTATTTTTACGGCAGCCATAACAGATGCATCCTCAAATACTAAAGACAAATGCGTAAAGACAAATATACAATTTGCTTAGACTTGATTTATTATCCTTCTGTTCTCCAGAAATTTCCAACAAATTCTGTCCATATTTTTAACACATATTCGCAGGAAACCGAATTCCACAGTTAAGCAAATTGCAATTTTGAGTGCTGTTGGTTTATGTTAAATGGATAAATGGTGGTTGTATTTGAGGGGACAAGGGGGTGGCTCTTTTAAGACGACAAGCAAAGACCATGAAGGCAGCTTATCAAATGCCTGCGCTGTCTTTGTACAAAATCTTTTAGCACTTAATGTAAATGACTCTTTCCCTATTCCCCCCTTTTCCATCATTTGATTATCCCAGCAGGTATAACACTCTGTAATTAAAGAGGCTTCATAAACCATACAGGTACTTCAATCTACACTGATATTCCAACACAAAGAGCTTAAGTAGTCAAGGAAAGCTCATTTCTGGGAAATGCAGGGTGTTCAAGCATGACGCTTCATGTTTTTACATTCTCTACCACAGATCACTTCTCAGTGCTTCAGTTTCTGATTATCCTGAGCCTTCATTAAAGACAAGATTTAGCACTGCATCCCTTCCAGTCACCTTTCAGAAATACAGATACTGTTTATCTTCTTTGTACCTGTCCAAGAGTGACTTTCAAAGAAAAGCTTCCAAGGCCATTTAAAATTATGCTTCCTAACTTTGTAACTTCTCTTCAGGATAAAGACTCTGCAATTTTTAATTAAAACTCAGTATAACATACTGTCTTACATAGTTTCCCAGTTGGGCAAGATTTCATTGTTCCATGTTAAAACAGCATTGCCAATGCTGTCTTCCAGTTTACAGCGTTCTTCCAGTTGTTTTTTTCTCTTCTGGGCTTCTTTCAACTCTGCAGAAAAAAAAATTTTCTTTTTAAGTTAATGAAACCGGAAACTAAATATTCAGTTAGTCATGGCTATAGAACCATGTAAAAGCACACCATTTTCACCTAAAATTAATGTTTGAATTCTAAAACTTTCCCAGGCAGACAGCTAACTAAGCAGTGATGTCAAACAGGAACAAAGTGGAACTATGCCCAAGGCTCATTTTCAATGGATGGGACAAAGGGAGTTGGATAATATATGGTTTCTTTGACCCTCCAAATCCAACCACACCAGTAACTCTGAATTAGCACCTCCGACAGCCAACAGCCTCACCTAGTAGGACAGGTCAGAGTATTTCCTCAGAAAGCCCCACCCTTTCATTTATGTCAGATTCAAAAACACAGGTCAAATGGATACAAGTTCTGTATTTCATTTCCATACATATATTACAATTTAGATATTCTGTCAAAAAAATCACAAGAGTCGCACTTTTGATGTTACCTGGCATATGGATCATCTAAACATCATATATCACAAATGGGAGCCTTCAGTTCATTAAAAAGAAAACTTTTCATGTCTAGTTTAGATATATTTTACATTTTTGCATTATCACTCAATGTATCTTCCTGCATCACCAGCTACTACTTTTCCCACTGGCAAGCATTGGACATGGATTTACCAAATGCAGGCAGACACAGCAGCACAGTGGAAATACAGGACACACGTGTGCACACACACGCTGTCTACAGCATGGGAAGGTACCGGCCTGGCAAGAAAAACCAACTGCAGAACAGCAGCACCGTGAACAAGGTCTTTGGAATGAGCACATTCTGCCTGATGGGTCCACTTCAGAGCCCAAGAGAAGCTGTGCCTGAGAAGAACAATCCCAAGTGCCTCACAATATTTTCAGCTTTGATACAAGCTTTCAATTATTCTCTTAGCAAAAAGAGGGTATTTACACTCTTTGACCTCCTGACCTCTAAACAACGCATCACTCTGCAAATCTGTTCATCTAGAGTGGCTTTAGGGACAATGGGTTTGTCATGGTATCTATCTGGACAGAATGACATACTCCAGGTTCAGTGAAGACAGCACAAGGACCTGGTCCATTGCCTAATCATCCTCCCATTTCTCTCAAGCCACCTACCCTACCTGCAAAGAAAGAACAGACAAACTCCTCTGGACTACTCAAGTGGATATACTAAACAGGAGTCACATGAAGTTAAAACTCCACTGGTAAGTGTATGACATTCAAAACCACAAGAGGACACTTCTATTACGTCAGCTGTAGAAAGCAAGGGAGTCCTGTGTTCATATCACCTTTCCACTGTTCCATACTGTTCAAAGGTCTGTCCAGCTGGAAAAAAAATATTTCCAGCAGCTCCCACTGGATGCAAAATCACTGTGAGTCCAAATTTCCTATTACTGCAATGCATGTTTTTAATTAGAAAACCCAGATGGTCAAAAATACCAGCAGAAAGAAACCACCACTACTGTCCCCTCTGCCTCATATGCACAGTACAGTGTTATCAAGACACAGACAGAAATTATGAGCAAAACCCTGGGAAAGCTGTTAACCTTAAGTGAGAGAGAATCAAACTAACATAATTGCATACATTTCCTACGTGGAAAATTATATGTTTATGTACTACAGCCTGAACAGGTTGTTCCCAACATGACACTGGCAAATACCCTGCAGTTTTAAGTCTAGTCTTCATGAATTTGACTGACAATCTACCTCACTATATGTATATATATAGTAAGTTTTTAAAGCCACAAATAGATGCCACTTATTTATTTAAGAGTTACAGATTAAAAATCCTTTCCTGCTGGATTCTAGGACTTTTATTTTTCAGCTGAGGGTGGGGCTTTTCAATGAAACCACCTTTGTTCCTGTCTCTTTGGATTGATACTTCTTTAGAGGGAGGTACAGATCCCTCACATTACAGAGCAACAGCCTGACAAGTGTATTTCAGGTTTAGAAACATCCCTTAACTTTACTTTTCTCCTCTGAAGACAAGAAATTCCATTACCTCTTTTTTTTGCTTGAACCACCATTTCTTCGTACTGTTGTCTGTGTTTCTGAGCTTCTTCTGCTGGTTTTGCAGGGAGGTTCCTTAAATTAAAAAATAAAAAAAAAAAAAGATCAGTATTTAGAGTTGGCATGCCTGTCTAAAGAAAATTCTAGGCTCTTCTAAAAGAAAAGCATACATTGCTTCTTGTCAAAATATGCAATCAGTGAGTAGAACAGATCCTTGGAAAGAATCTTTTTTTGCCAGAGTCAGCAGAAGGGAAGAACACTGACCACTTTTATACACAGAATATGCTGAGTAATTTCCTTATGTTTGGTAATTTCAGCATTTTTATTATTAAACCAACTGAACCCACAGGCTGATCTTCATAAAGGGTGTATATACCAAGCTGGTAGTTTTGATTTAGACCGGTAAGACACAGGACCATGTTCTCTCTTACTGTGCACCTCATTTACGGGTTACATGCACAACTTTCTTTAAATGACTCCCTGTCACAGCTCCCCTTTCCCTCTGCTCTCTGAGACTCCATTCTATTTTAAAGACTTGGTTCTTCCCCCTCGGTCCTAGAACAGCAAGTGGCATTGGAGTCACCCTTGATATTGTCCACTCATCAACACCAACCCAACATTAGGATTTGTGATTAAGGCTCTGCCACACAAATACAGGTGCTCCGATGCCAGAACACGTTACCTTTAAGCTACTCGAATTTGTAATTAACATAACCATAAGTATCTCTTTACAAATACAGGATCACCAAAACATCAAAACAGGAAATGACTAACTATTTTGTTATTCTGTATTGTAGAACACTGTTATTTTATTCCTAGGACAGTTTGTATCTTTGGTTAATAGAAAAGCTATGCAAAAATTCACTTTCCTGTTCCTGCAAGATGTCGCATACCAGGCAGCTGCTGTCCATCAACACATCACCATTAACAGGGACTGTGTGTCACTATTTACTGTAATCACAGCCGTGGGATACAGGCTTATGACAAATCAAGATTTGCTCACATCTTTCTGTTTTTTTCAAATCAAGACTGTTACTAGAACAAGGAAAGTAAATTTTCACATTTGTGTCTTTGTTAGGCACAGAAAATAATCTACTCTTTTTCCAGCTTCACTTCTGTAAATTGACCACCATCTTTTTTAAATCCAAGTCTTTAGAAATGGCTCAAGTTGGGGAAAGTTGGAAAGGAAAATCAGATAAAATAGTAAGTTCTGCTAACTTAAATTCCACCACTCAAATTATCTGCCCTATCTCTTAACATCACCACCATATGTGTGAGATGATGTTTAGTATCTATTAAGATTCAACTAACACTTTTTGAAGTTGAAGTTAGAAGGACTATGGAATATTTACTGATTTTTTTACTATAAAATGTTACCTAAATCCTACAATTGAGTGTGAAATCATGAGCAGCCATTCTGGGGAAAAAAAAAAAAAAAAGTCTCACTGCATTTTCCTTCCAGAAGTCTTAAAGCTTTTTGTCGTAGGAAATAAAAAAAAAAAATTACTTAAAGCCTGATAGGAAAAAAACAGTACGTAAACTGCAAGTAAGCAATTAAAAAAGAAGATTCTTTGGAAAGAGTCAGAGGACAGCACTGCTGCCCAGAGCAGTTTTCCTTTCTAGACAAAAGAAAAGATGATTCACTTGTCTAGAATCTTAAGAATATCTATTCGGTCAGAAGTTCCTCAGTCTTTCACCAGTAGGAACGAAAGCAAAACCTGAACATTCTGCTGTAATGCATCACTAATTCCATCTGTGTGAACACTGTACTTCTCAGATTATCCCACAAGAAGACAGATTTTTAGCAGACAGGTTCTGAATACAACAGCTAAGCCAGCGTGCTTTGTTTCCAGCTGTACACAATAAAGCCTGCTGTAACAAACAATCACTCATGCTGTTCCAGACGTCCCCAGGTCTTGCCACATAGGCCATCAGACAAGCCAAAAAGTTATTTAAATAACCCTACAACGAGACTACTTTGACATGGGCATTTTTCACACAGCTTTGTAGATGAAAACACAGATCTGTTATGCCAGTTCTTCACACCAATGCACAGCTATACTAAAAATGCAGACACCATGCCCAATAAAGCCAGATAACATTCAAAATCATAGACTAAACATGACTGAATTTGTGTAATTTAGAGCAAAACATGGCAAAGCAACTGCCAGTAAATCACTCTGGAGACAGTTTGCATATGGAAGAACCTCCTTGCAGGAAAAGAGGTATGAAACAACTTCTCAAGTAGTTGACAACCTTTAAAAAGTGACGCTGAACTCACTGCAGAGCAATCACTATTCATGTTTCATTATTTATGGATGTGTTTTCTTTCTCTGTGTAAACAGGACACTGTATTCTTGCTTCTCAATCTCTTTAGCATATACCAGCTTCATTTTTATGCTTATGTTCTCTCACAGAAAATAAAAATCCCTTGTTCATGTTTAAAAGGTAGAATTACTCAAAACTGGGGCTCTGCTCTCCTACTTACCTCCTTTCATAAAAAGCCATTGCTTTTATTACAAAATAAGGTTCCCTCTGTTTGAATAATTTTTCTCATAATCAACCCACTTCCATATTCACTAGTCTGAAAAAAATTCTACTTTAGATTTTCAGGAATCTGTTTAAGTTAGGGTGAGCAAATACACTGAGTTAGAAAAATCTTTGCTAGGTTCATTTTGAAGAGACCCTCACTGTGGCACTTCCCAAAACTTACGCTGGTCTGTCCTCTAAAATAAGTGCTGTAGTGGAGAGTGGTTCAAAATCAAGATTCTTCCTCACATTCTGTTTAGGAGAGAGAGGTTTGTGAGCTCGTCCAGTTTTTTCTTCATATTCCTAGAGAAGAAAAAGACAGGGCAACTTACTAAGGTGGAGAACACCAAGATGATGCACATGAGCATTTAGAATGGTCTACCAAAGTTTTCAAGACAATGCTTTCACATCTCTACCCTGCTGCAGTCCCTGTAGAGTTTTTCAACTAAAGTAGCCTCAGAACTGAAAACAATAGCAAAATTTATGTTCAGGAGTGAGTTTTGATGTTTTTTCCATCCTTCCAATTTGTAAAAACATTTTAAGTTCCTCTGGCTGACAGCCTGCTTTTACACAGTACTACTCATAAGGAGTTTACAAACAGCAGATACTATCTGAGGTATAAAAATAAGATCTGTTTAAAATATTTTTCTTTTCATTTACACGGTTTTGAAATTGAAGCCAAAAATGACCACAAGTTCCTTGTCTTAAAACCTCATAGAAAGATATCTCCCCACGCAAGCTGTTTTCACATGCAACA